GGTACCTCAACGGTTCTCACTTTTAGACTAATAGCATCTAATTAGGCTAGTGTCTTATTTTCATAAAAACCTATAAAATTATGTTTCCTAGACAAACCTTTCATTTATACTTTAAAGCTATTTAGTTGTACTGCGTTCCCTTTCACCCTTCCCTAAGATAGCTCTTAGTGAGGTTATACTATAATAATTATTCACAGGGCAATTGATAAGAGTCAAAGATAATTATGAAGGTGTAGAACATACATAACTCTGAAATTCTCGAATAGTATGTACCCAACCTGGTAAGAGCAAAGATGAACACTCCACACTGAAATTTTATAAAGGCATTTTCTTTATGGGAGATTATATTGCAGTTTGCTTCTTCCATCCTTGCTACTTCTTCTATCCACTTCAAATGATATACAGTATACATTTTGATAGTTTGGTGTCACTCTAAAGACAAGCGGTTGGCAGCGAATAGCTGGCATTACAGTTTTAAGCCTTAATTGCAATAGCAAGATAAAAGATCTAGAGGGAAGAACATAGAAAGGGATAATTGGTCTGCTAATGACCATAGTCTACACTGTATTTGGACATGACAAATGGTGCTTCATGTTCCAAATAAGCAACACAGTCAATGTGGTAATGCATTCATATCTATCTAAGAGAGGAAAAACACAAAAGCACTTTTAATTTTCCTTCATTACATGTCATCGGCTCAATTAACCATTATATATATACATATGTACAGTAAAATTCTAATAAATTACTGCTTTCTCATTTTTGGCGTCTCTTAAGATTTATGGCTGTTAGTATTAATTTGATTGCTCTACATAGCATTTTCTCCCCCTTTACAGCAGCATGCTTTTTGAATCTGAACGTTCTTCTGTGTTTGCCCCATTTCAGTATTGCTTACTAACATTTAATATATTTTGCTTTTTTTTTTTTATTTTGCTGACAAAGTTGCATTGATGAAAGCTGACTTGCAAGGTAGATAGCCCTATGTGTATAAAACAAGACTGAAACCCCGTAATACACAGTGGAAACCCTAAAATAACGTATTTTATATTTTTGCAGTAATGGTTATTGGGTTCAGACTTCATTTTTTCCTTTCTTGAACATTGTGCAAGAAACCTCATTTAGTAGCATAGTTTGCATAAAGGCTTTCAGTCTTGCATATGTCTGTATAGTGATTGCCTTTAGTGCTTTGATCATGCTTTTTTTTAATTCTTTGTTTTTCAGTGTTCTAGTTATGATTATTTAGAAATAGACTAGCGTTCTTTTTACTTGTATGTTAAATGCGGCATGCCATTTATATGGAGTTTTTCATTTTATGTTTAACTGCATGAAATTGTTAAAGCATGTGAATTGATACTTGCCAACATACCTATCCAAAGCACACAGCAATCATGACTTTATCCATAGTTTGTGCAGGGAACTTGCTGAAACCTCTAGGGCATTTTTGCATAACTCTCTTCAGTTATTTTACCAAACTTTATCTCAATATCATGAAGTTATAATCTCCATTTCTCATGGTGTCTCTATTCATTGGTCAGAAGTTAAGGAGATCCATTCATTTTCTAAAATCCAATGGTTAAAGAATTATTGATGATGGAATGAAACTACCTGCTACCATGATCATTACAGAAGCTATGCGCTTGCTTTCGCTATTTGTTGGTTTAGTTTATTAATTTAACATATTTTTTTCTATATTTTAAACTTACGAAAACTTTCATGTTACAGCTTCTTAGTTCCTAATTCAGGTGTGTGAACTAGAACTTTTAAAGCTAGTTTGGACATGTAATTTGAGGTGTTGGCAACTACTATATGTGCTCTAGCTCACATTTAAAATACTTTTGTTTTTTTTTTTTTAAAGAACCCAAGTTTCTTTTGGATTGTTTTGCAGGGCCCAGCACAACCTGTCAAGAGGACTCATGTTCCAATCAAGGTGTGTGCTTGCAGCAATGGGATGGCTTCAGCTGTGACTGCAGCATGACTTCCTTCAGTGGGCCACTCTGCAATGACCGTGAGTACCTGTCTGAGTATAAACTAATACTAGTTGTTGCTTCCAGATACTGTTTAAAGTCTAAGGTCTAAAACTAAGAGTCCTTTATATTATCTCTGAGTAAGTTGAATCGTAATAACCAAGAGAAGTGGTTGTTTCCACAGAGAGGACATTTTTGAAATACTAAATTATTAATCAAAGATGCTGTTAGCTAAATGCTGTGATGATGGTGATTCTTTGGTTTTCTACTGTTTGTTGTATTTTTTTTTTTTTACTAATGATCACCTTGTTCAAAATGCATTTCCTGTATATGATGATACTCCCCTAGTTTTTGAAAGAATCTTAGTATTATTTTATATTAAG